AGAGCCGATGGGCCTACGTAAATCATGGTATCGGTCCAGCTCAAGCCTACTGAGCGTATTCTAAAAGCTATAGCTCTAACCGGAAATTCAGGCCGGAATGCATCATGTACAACACGAACTGAGACATAGGCTAGGCCGAGAAGGTGGCCTTCTTTGGGCTAGGCTTTTATCTAATGTGTGTAAGTTCATGCGCGTGTGATAAGAAAGTAGCTGTGTGTGAGGTGTACGTGAGTGTGTGTGCATGTGAGTGCGCGCGCGCGTGAACATTGTTCGTACATGATGCATGTGTCTACACGGTAACCGGGCACCTAGTCTCAGTATCTACGTACACGGTAACCCACCGGAATGAAGATTAACCAATATTTCACATTTGTCCTGTGCTGTCACTTGTTGAAATTTAAAAAAAGAAAGTTATACACGCGTCTTGTCGGGCTCGCCATCGTTACCGGTCAGTGAACCTGTGCTCTCGCACCACATTGTGAGTACCGGTTGGGGTCACCAAAGTTCATTCAAAGTCTGTGCGCTACGAAGTACACAGTAAAGGGCTTCGGAACGGGAGAATTATTGATTTTTAAAAAAAATGTACAGTCAGGGAAGGGCTGGTGTTCAAGGCAACACCGGATGTCAAAAACTGAACTTGGAATTCTTAACTGCCCGGTTACCGTGTACGTGACACTGAGACTACGTGCCGGGTTGCCGGTTACCGTGTACGTAGACACTGAGACTAGGTGTCCGCGTACCGTGTACGTAAACACCCCGTTATGTAAAACGCCTTATTTAGGCTGCGTTCACACGGGAGTGGGTGCTATAGAAATGATCTAGATCTACATTAGTACATGTATTACTATTGTTTATAAATGGAAAAAAAAAATTGCTGTATTTTACGATTTGGCTTAGTGTTAAAACAATACCATGCCGGTTTTAAAACAGAAAATATCAGAAATAGATCTAAATACAGATTACCGGTGTATCGAAGGTTTCAAGAAAAAAATAGAACAGGATGGATCTGATTTGATTGGAGCATTAGCTTATTTTGTATTTAGAGGTTGTTTCGAAAATCTCTCGTCAATTTTTTGTTTTTTACAGACAAAACCTCATACTCATACTATACACTTCTAGATTTTTGCATGAACCAAGTACCTGGTATGTACTAAATTTGGTCAAATTTTACGCTTTCATTTAAAAGTTATTATAAAAACCGAGGGTTCCGTTATTTTGTGTCACGCGTTATCATATTATATTTGGTCGATAACTTTATTGTTAACGTACTCGTGTGTTGTTACTAGTAAATGTTGCTAATAACATTTGATAAATTTGTATTGTTTGTCATGATTTTTTAAAAGGCTGAGCTGCTTTTATGCTATCGGTACTCAAAATTGTCATGTTTTTTAAACTAAAAGTAAGTGTTAAGCACGTATTAATGCGCCTGGGGTGGGAAGGTTGCAATTTTTTGCAATTTTTCTATTTCAAAAATGCAATTTTCCGCGGGGCCAGGTATGATCAGAAATGGTCAACTATATGATATATATTCATACTATATGATGATATGTCAAGCCACTCCTCAATTTAAGAGATAAGAGGCATCCTCAAGAATGCACATAAAATTACATGTACTGCGAGCAGGATGCTATTTTTAGGTTTTTAGTTTTAGTTTTGCGGCATAAACACCATTAGGTTATATAAGTACTGAAGATTACAGGTGTTACTTGTAATACTAGTTTTAGTAAAAGTTTTATGGCACTTGCAACACAAAAAGGTCATATAAGTGCCGAAGATTAGACAACTAGAGGCGTTACACAAGAGTTTAGTTTAGTTTTAGTAGAGGTTTTACGGCACTCGCAACTGCATAAGGTCATATGAGCGCCAGAAGATTAGAGGTGTTACAAGAGAGTAACAAACATAAAAAAGAAGAAGGGGAGATAAGGACAATAGATGTTTCATAGAAAAGAAGAAGCAAATCACACCAGAGCACCCGCCAACCATCCACTTAGAAATACTAGAGAGTAGCATACAAACAAAAGAAAAACAAGAGATAGGGACCATAGATGTTTCAGTTTGGTAGCAAAGGAGCAAACCTTACCAGAGTACCACTGAGGTTTCTGGACAGATTTCATTCATTATTGGATGTTTTTGACCTTTGAGAGTGAGAGCGACAGTGGCCCAAATGGTGGTACCAGTGCGAGTCATTTTTTTTGGTGCATATAAAGTCTAATCTGCTTTAGCAGTCACTTTTCCATGGCAGTCACCTGTACTAACAGTAACAGCCACTGTGCCCCGACAACCATGCGTTTTCCTTATTTCTAACCTGCCCATAGAAGTCCCAGTCATTTTCATGACAAATCAGCCTTAAAACCTGATCATATAGCAGTAGCTTGCAACACAAGTTTTCAGCCTACTGTCTTTAGACTTAAAGTCAATTCAAAAGTGGCCCTCATGATAGACAACAATTTTGAAGGAAATGAAATGGAAAAATAAAGATTTCAGATTTTTTATCATCTGCCGTCTTTGTCAAGTCTAGTGAGTGACCCATCACTTAGACCCCGTATGTAAAGGTAACTTTTCTTCGAGTGAACGCCATACAGTGGAAACCTGATATAACAGGGATGGTGGGAGTAGAGAAAATGCCCTGTTATATCCGATCCCTGTTAAATCAGAAATGCCAGGAAAGTAAGCATTTGTGGACTAATCCAGCTGTACTTATTCATGGGTAGTTGCCCTTGCCACAAGTACCCACAAACAGGGGTTTTGGCACAAACATTCTCCTTGCCTTTTTAAACCACATTAGAAGAGCTTGGTCCACAGCATCTGCATCGGGTAGTCTCATTTTCTTTCGATCCAGAGCAAACTTTCCATTGGAGTATGGTGTCACTATCTTCTCTTTATCCTTGATAATGGTGTGAATCGACCGTTGTGGAATGTCGAACTGATGACATAATCTCTGCCAGCGGAGCTTGCTTTTTGTTAACAGCCTGGATTATTTCGTATTTTTTGTCAATTGAAAGGCATTTTCTCTTGCGCTTGACATCGTTGGTGACACATTACGCGTGCGTCTTGCTAGGTTTCGGGCTAGATCGAGGTCTGCAGCACATCGCAGCCCTCTCTCGCTCCACACGCTGCGTGTGCTCGCAGTGGCAAGGCTTGAGTGGGCTTGCTCCATCACTGTGTTACTCTCTCTCTCTTATTTTTACACATTGTTAACGAGCCTTTGTGCCTGCTATAACCGGTAGGGCTCCGATGAGGCCCTGTTATTGCCGATAACTTTTAATAGAGACCAAGAGTAGGAAAAAACGGGGATTTTTAAAATCCCTGTTATTACCGGATCCCTGTTATTACCGGGCCTGTTATATATGGTTTCCACTGTATATAGACAAGTGCGACTGTATTTTCCCACTGCAAGCCAGAACATCAGGACCTTTAATTATATGTGTGTAGCGTGTGTGCCTGGTGAAAGGTACCAAATGACACATTTTGAAGAATCCCGTTTTTTAGCATTTTCATGTACAGAGATCATTTCTGAACAATATATATGCTTTTTTGAATTTTTAAGATATCTTCAGTAGTGTTTGAGATATGGGTGATTTTGTAAGGCAGAGTATGGAAACAAAGTTTTGAGAAAAACGGCTTTAAAGATTAAAGTTTCCCCTTTGTTTCAGCTTCAAATAGACAGATCTACGCTTCGAGACTACCTGGAAACACATTCACTGCTCACAAACCAATTTTAAAAAGCACCTAAGATAAAAGAACAGCTTCAAAGTGTTTATATTACGTCTTCAAAACAAATTCACCACCACCTTGAGCAAGAATTTTCAAGAAAGTAGATAATGGTTTGCGAAGGGCAGAAAAAGGCGATACAAGTTTGCTCTCCAAAAAATGAAAGGGTGTGGACGCGCAAAGCCTCGCTTTGTTTACATTCTAGATTATATTCATGTGCATTACCCCACCATTAGAGAGGGGAGAGAATGACCTAAATTTTGGTATGCATTGTGATTGGGTCGACTTTATGAATGGACAAGAGAAACCATCCGCAGTGTTTACTCGGAAACCAATTTTCTTATACATTTTTGGGGGATTGTGTAATATACCTTGTGTTAAAAAACATCTTAAAAAATGTATTTTAAAGTAAAAACTCAAGTCATTTTAAATATCTACATATTAATCGCAAAAGAATCCATATAGAACTTAGTTTTTGTCAAAAGTTCTATTTCTGAACTTTGAAGCCTGATATCTCGGTTCGAACAAATGAATCTTTTGGTACCTTTCACCAGGCACGCTCACATATTATCAACAATAATGAGATAGCATGAGCAACACTAATAGTACACTTAAAATGAAAAGTAGGAGTGGCGCACAAAGTGCCTGTACATTCAAACAGTACCGTACTCTGGCATTTCACAAACTGCATTCATTGCACAGGCTCACAATCACAAGTCTTCAGTCTTCACAATAACTACCTTGACAGGTAAATCATTTCAGTTTATCTTTTCAGTCTCCTTAGGGACATACAGGTGAGCAGCAAGTAAGGTGCATACTGTTATCATTCACATATTTCATTGCAACTGAGTGACAATGTGTGAACTGAGGCAGCTAGTGGACAGTACTTTTTCTGGGATTATCTCCCCTATCCAATAGAGCCAGAAGTAGGGAATGGGACTCAAAACATTTCTTTGAAAAGTCCAATGCCTTACTGTTAGACTATGACACAATCTAGGCCATAGTTTTCATAGGATTTACATAATGTGACAATCAATGAGGACAATACAATAAAACACAAAATTTGAAGATGAAAAAAAAGTTGAGACGAATGGATCACTACAGTAGCTCAACATATCTAAAGAATAGAATAATATAAACACTGGAAAGAAGTAGGTACAGACCAAGACAGAGAACCAACACCAACCCTTCACTGAAGTCACACCAAATAGAAAAGTTCTGCAACAGAAACTGACATTGTTTTCAATGTAGGACAATACACAATCACTTTTCAAACAAGAGCAATCCAGTTAGAAGTGAATTCAACAACTTTATTCACTCAAGATTTTAAATTCATTTATTGGAAAAGTCAACACTTATATATAAAAAAAAAAGGTTTAAAATTCACATTCAGTAACGCTCATGCATTATAAAAAAACAATGTCTTACCCCTCGCATGAGATTTACATAAATATACAAGGATTTTCGTCACACATAGAGTACCAATGCATTGAGCTGCATTGACTTTATTTTCTTGAACAAACACAAAAATGTGATAAAAGCCAATTTTTTAAATTATGCGTCCCAATTAACCCGAAGCTCATATGTTCAAACATCTTTAAGGAATAGCTGAAGAGCTACACTACATACAAATGTGACTTAAAAGTACACAATAACAAAACAAAAAACAAAAAATTATAACAGATACAAAGAATCTAAGAACAATCTTGGTACCATGAGGGTCTTGCAAAACCAGCTCAGGTCTCCCACCAAGACATGATTGGCTCTAATGGTTCGGTAGGCTTACTTCAGTCTTGACCACTGAGGAAAGAAAAAATAAACCGTGTCAGATCATGACACCAACTACATAACAAGCATGTTCCCCATCTCAAGTAGAAAACTATTCAAATTCAAGTCACCCTGTCATTCTGAGAACTAAAATGGACACAGTTCCATCATAAATAACCTGTCACATACTACCTAGTAGTTTTTCGTCAGAAATAGTTTTTTTTCAATGCCCCCCCCCAAAAAAAAAAAAAATTGTGAAGATATGTGATCAAAACTTCTGGCTTTCAAGTTTATTAAAACATACCACTGACTGGTTTGCCTTTCAGAAGAAAACCCCCCAAAATATCCCAGAAAGTCTTCAGGGGAAGAAGTACGAGGTTCACAGAAGATGAGCAAGAATAGAGCAAGTGATTGGAAATACAAGGCCCAAGACATTCCACTTGTGCTCCCAATGAAAAAAACCCAAGATACCATTGACTAAATTACTACAGGAGTAAAATCCATGATATTAAACTTTTACAAAACAAATCATTGCTCCTTCCATAAGAATACTAAATAATTCTAGGTAGTAACATGAAGTTTTACACTAGTCTTTTTAAAGTATGTAACTGAGTAAGTAGACCTACTCTTACTTTCAAATAAATCATGTTTTCATAGTCTTTTAAGACCAACTGTTTTTTAACAGTAAATTGTACATTGTACGAAGACAGATTATACCAAAATACACTTCACCATTAAAAGGTTATTTTAACAGATAGGTAGACCTACTCCTACTTTTAAATAATAGTAAATTATGTTTTCAGTCTTTATAGACAATTGATTTTAGTATTTTACATTGTAAAAAGCCAGATAATATCCAAAAGCACTTCATCATTAACAGGTTATTATTATTATAACTAAAAAATAGGTAATGCTCCCGACAGAAACGTATATATAAAAAGACTTCCACAACATCGTGATGTTTTCAGCTGACACGACAAAGTTACTCCTTTCAGTAAATGTGATTCAACAAACATGAATTGTTTGCAAACAGGTTGTAAGCACTCAGGGCACTTCACTTATATCAAGGTTCCTCTAAACCTAAGAGGAAACCAATCAGCTAGTAAAAGGTTCCAAAAGATCACATTTTCACAAGCAATCTTATTGTGCCATACACTACAACTGTCAAGAACCCGTTTTTCTTTCCTTCATGGATGGTGCAACAGAATAGTTTAACCTAATATAGCATTTCTCCTACACACAAAAACAAAGCAAGGAACTGACAGGGCAACTTTTCCGTCTGCATAGTCAGCTGTGGGGAGAGCAGGGTTAAGTCATGTTCATACCAATACAGTATCTTAATGAGCCACAAAGAAAGCTACTACCACAATAAAATACCTGAACAATTTAAGTGTGAAACGATGCTATAAGTCATTTGATTGCTGTTCCCTTGCTGGCAATCCTTAGGTTGGCATCGGCTCAACATTCAGTTACTTCGCCATATTTGTATAGCTTCAGGGATAAGAAAGTCATTTATGCATGTGAATTGGGTGATGTAGGAAGTTCAACAGAAAGGAAAAGACAGGTAGAAAACACCTTAACATTATTTAGAGCCAAACTATAATGACAATAAAGGCCACAAATGAGGGGGGAGAGTTAGGTTTCAGAAATTGAAATTTCAAAACTCTCTTGCAAGAAAAAAAAAGTATTTTCAAACAGCATGCACAAAAATTAAACAACTATTTTCTGCTCTAACCTGAACGGGTAAAAAGAGCAGACTTCAGCTCATGATCACGATAAAGCACAGCTCTGAAAACAATCCTCAGTTTTGAAGCAAACAGTACACTCACATTTTAACTTAAATAAGAACAAAACACAACAAAACCTCAGGATTTTTGCTCAGTCTGCAAGTACATGCATACAATTTTGAGAAAACCCCACAACTCTGTGTGATAGAAAGACCTGCTTCAAAAAAAGGATCATTTAAAAACATGTTTTTATCTCTTTCCCCCTCAAAGTGCATAATGCACTTTTGCTGCTAATGATTGAAGATCTAGATGAACATATGACAAACAAACACTAGCAAAGAGATAACATTGACACCTACATTCATCAACACTGTATAACAAAAATTATTTAAGAAAACAAAAAAACATGATGCATCAGATGAAAAAGCAATCAAATGTACATTTTAATGTCAAGTAGAATCACAATCAATTCACACATACAGCAATAATCTGGACCCTAGCATGATGCAGCCTCAGAGAGACTAATCATACAAAGGGTTTGTACCTATAGTTTCTTGATCTGGTGGTCATCCTCGCATCTCACCGGAGGGAAGGGTCATGTTTTCCTCTTGCTCTTCAGGTCACCAGAGTACACAAGATATGACGTGTAAAAAAAATCCCACTCACCTTGCAAACCCGCTGGAAAGAAGAGTGCAAGTCAAGTAGGATACAGAAGGGAGCAAAAGTAGCCCGCACTTACCTGGGCTATTGGCAGTGTGTATGCTCAATCATCGATTTTAGAGTCACCTTCACTATTCTCAGGACCATTCTGTCCACCACCATCAACAGAAGTTACATCACGGGCATTCGGCTCAGTAGTAGTGCTCTCTTGCTTCAAGTCATTCTGCTCTGGGACTTCAGTTAGATGCTTCTCACCACTAGCTAGGAAAGAATCTGCAACAGACAACGCAAAAATTTACTTACAAGAATGTGAGATCACCTCTTCAGGATGATGCCTGCACCTGTTGTGGAAATGCATCCCATTTCCTAATATCTCAATCAGGCATAACTGAACATTAGCAGGAACAACAATGCTGTGCATTAGTCCTTTTATGTTGCCATGCACCATTAAGGCCTACTCATTTTGCAAGAATTGAGAAGATACCTTAGAACGATATCAATCACATGCAAAATAGAGTTTCCCACAACAGATAAAAACAACCCAAAGTTTATAATGGCACCCCCCCCCACACACACACACACCAAGGGCACATTACTCTCCCATTTCTCAATAAGTGAATCACTAGCAAAGAACTGAGTAGGAAAATAGGTAGATTTACCTTGTTTGGGAACAGTCACCTAGTTTGAAAGTAAGTCTTTAATTTACAAAAGGACTCCAGATTTACAGATCATATTGTCTAATACATCTTGTATCAAGATGATTGGCCTGAAGTGGACAATCTCAGAAATCTTAGCTGTCCAGATTTATCTGATAAATTAGCTCATATGAGAAAATAATAAAAACTTTCTTTGGCACAATAAAATTTAAAAAACATTTTCTGAGCACATATTCACTTATTTGAATAGTTTATAATTAATTTTCTGCCTAAACCTACTCGGTGCACTTACCGACTGCCATTTCTGGGTTCTCTGATGTTACGGAGTCTCTGCCACGGCTACCAGATTTTCTTTCATTCTCTTTTTTCTCCTCTCTTTCACTTCCATTTGACTTTCTGTCTTTCTCCTCTTTGCTTTTTTCTCTTCTGTCTCTTGACCGTGATCGATTACGGCTTCTTGACCGTCTGTCTCGTGAGCGTCTGTGACTGGATTTCCTGTCCCGACTGGACGAACGCCGGGACTTACGACTTCTGCTACTACTGTGACTACGACGTTTCCTAAAAGAAAAAGGAAGAAAAAGTTTTCTTTAAGGGGAGGAGTAAGGAACAAAATCGATTCTAAATCTTTTATATTTCGTTATTTGCTACTCCTCTGTAACCATGCAAGACAGAAGACTCAAATTTCACCAGCTAATGCAGAATTATGCAAGCTAAAAAGTGTTTCGGGTTGTAACTTCATTACTTTTTTTAAAAGTTGGCAAAAGTTGAATTTCCATGAAAATTGAACCCCAAACTTGACCCTTCATATTAAGCAAATGACTAAATATATTTAAAAAAACAACTTTATAGCTTTGTTAATGGGGCCTTTAGTTAGTTGATATGCAAAGTATCATTTTGCTTGGATGAGTAGTTACAGTGAAGTAGCACATAAAAAATTGTAAACAAAATTCACTACGGCCACCATTCATAGTTTTTTTTTTTTTTGGTAAGTGTTTTTACAGCGCTCGCAACTGCATAAGGTCGTATGAGCGCATGGGACACACCTAATATTTTCAGTTGGTAGGAAATTTTGAATTTTGCCCGGGTGGCGGCCGAAGCCTACTCTTGTCGATTTTAGACCACCAATGGATCTTTAACGCGCGCAACTTGCACACGGGCCCTCACATTTTTCACCCTTGTCCGAGAAGGCTAGGTGTAGATCTTTCCTACCAGAAGATCAGGCGTGTGCCAGAAAGACAGCAGTTAGGAGCCAAGGAGTAGCAGTAGAAAGGCTGCATAAAGAGTCAGGAGCCCAGAGGAGGGGGCAAAGGAGGTGAGGGGGTGGGGGCAGAAAGTGGAAACGAAAGCAGACAACAGAACATTGCTAGAGAGCAGGAAAGGAGGGGAAAGGAGACAATTTTAGAGAATAAAATTTTTCGGTCGCTACCCGGATTCGAACCCGAGACCTTTGAATGAGAGGCCAACATCTTAACCTCCAGGCCACGAGAGCCCCCCATTGTCATAGTGAGGCACCATGTTTAAATCAGGCGCTTGTCAATAAAAACATTTCTGTGTGGATGTTATTGAAAAACGTAGAAAAAAAGCTCAAAAATGTAATTTTGCACTTTCCAAGAAAGTCTATCAAGCTTTGGAAGTCACCTACCTTTGGAGGCCATTTCATCTTTAATTTTACCCCTGAAAGCAGGTGACCCCCACCTCCATTCGCAAATATCTCCACCTCTAATAGAGATAGATTAGTACTTTTTTCATCGAAAGCAAGACAAATGAACAAGCCCTAAGGTGATACCAATAACTCTACATGCCCAAACATTGACGAGCACTTGATTCCACTGCATCATGACACATATGTCTGTTTTACATCACAGCCTTACCCTATATCTACCACATAAAATATGCAAAGAACAAGGGCTCATATGTAGAAATAGGTACATACTGGAGTTCATCCTCTTTAACTCTATCCGTACGCCGTGTTTTACTATCGTATCCATACGACGTAGGGAACTCTGTGCCACCACTTTCCAAAGAGGAAATTTACTCGTTAATCCGATCCGTACGCTTTTCATAGCAGTCTGTCAAAATGATTTTTTGAGAAATACTGAAAGTTTCAGAGACCTTCATGATAGAAGTATTTTAAAATTTGAAGAATACAACCCCGGACGTACAAAATGACCCCAGGGTGTACGGATAGGGTTAAAGTTCAATGGAAGGCTATGGCAAGCTTGTTGAACACAAAAAGGATTAAAAGGAGACACCAACAGAGCATCAATAGACCATCCTTATTTCAACTTACTCAAGACAAGCTCAGAGTTTGAAAGGAACCACTGAGACTAACCATTTTGATCAATTTTTGAAAAGTTGCTTTTGTTTTACTTTTCAATATTTTTCAATGCAACAAAGTCAAAAAGTTAGCCTGTACATCTTTACAATACATTTAAATCATTACTTTGGATTAACATTTGTAAATTAATTTTTGTAAAGGTCATTTTGGGGGTTAATGTCTCCTGAGAATTTTGCCACCATTCTTTTACCAATTTAGAAAATGGAAACTGTTTTAATACAATCAAAATGTTGTGAAATTTGCTAATCCATGAGAAACAGATTATAAAACAGTATGAAGTGTTCCAAACATCTACACATTAGCTGATTCCGTCCTTGGTTTCAGGCTCTGGACAGAATTATTTTTCCCTGTTCAGCTTTAGACCTGGGGTGCATCTATTTAATGCAGTACTGTGAAGCTTTAAGTCACTCTAATAGGTATTGTCATTACCAAACTGATGGGAATAAATAGAGGAATGTGTTTATATCAATAACAATGACCTATAATCTGTTTGAACTGCATTTTCCTTCAGAAAAAAAAATTGCACAACAGCTCTTCGAAAATTTCGACTTACCCCATTTTCTCAGCTCTACAAGTCCTTATAATCCATAGGAATCAACACAACATTGTAGCGATATCACCCTAGCACACATTTATGCAAGAATTTCACAAATTTAGTTGAATATCTTTCTTTGAAGGGCCTTTTTTTATTATACCAGGCCCCTTGTTGTTCACCCTTAGATCTAGCCTACATCGCGACAACAAAACAACGATTTTTGCAAGAATTTCACGGAGTTTCGATCGATATTGGCGCGCAGAGATTGAGGTCAGGTTTGTTTACAAGTTCTACTTCCTTTCGACAACTTAAAAAGTCGGAACTATGTTAAAAAGTGCTCATTTGTTTCGGATTTCGTTGAGCCGCTCAGAGCGGCCTAATGGACGCAGCGGAAAAACTCAGAGCCGCTGTCAGCGGCCGAATGGACGGAATCAGTTAACAAAAGACAATCACAATATCATTTCAAGAGCAGGATGCTAGTCAATTCTACTCAAATATAAAGTACTCCATTGGCAACAGTGTCTAAATACCCCTTAAGCAAAAACATGAAGAAATGAAGCTTAACCACAGAATGAACTCATACCTATCTCTACTGCGACTTCTGCTTCTCCGAGAGCTGCGACGGTCTCTGCTTGTGCTACGTCGTCTTCTACGATCCCGACTTCGAGACCTCTGGCGGTCTCTACTCCTAGAACGACTCCTCCTTCTCCTTTCTCTCTCTTTTTCCTTTTCCCTCTCCCGATCTCGCTCTCGTTGACGACGTTCATCTCTTTCTCTCTGCCTTTCTCTCTCCCTCTCCTCTCTTTCCTGCTTCAGTTTAGCTTCATTGGCTTCTCTTGCTTCCATTTCTTCTCTTGCTTTTCTCTGAGGAGACACGAACAGACACTTGAAGTGAAGATTATAAATCTATTGGCGATAACGCACTTCCCTCACTGACTTCTTGGGCAATAAATAACATACATGTACACTTAACTTTGAAAAATATCTTACTTTTTATAATCCAGACCTGCCACTCTATGAAATCTAAGTATCCGAATCTCAGAAGAAAATAATCAGGATCTCGTGAAAACAATCAGGAACAACGACAAATCACCAGGGTGAGTGTGAGTGCCAAGCTGACTTTAAAAATTTCCAGGGCTGTCCATAAGTATATTCGAGCATAAATATTATATGCCCTCTGTGTGCGTGTTTGTGTGTGCGTGTTTGTGTGTGCGTGTTTGTGTAATTGTGTGTTTTATCAATACTTTTTTAAAAACCTGAGCTATCACATCAAGTACTCTTTGTCCAAATGTTTAACACCCTCCATTCCAAATAAGTCCCAAAAGACACTTTAACCAGTGAGCATGAACTTAAGTTGACCCTCCCAATGGATGGTCCCAGACACATGCCAAAGTCATGTTACGTGATGTGAACGTGCGATGAAAATGGTTTTACTGACGAGTCTTGATGATGGGTCGGACTAACCAAAACTCGGACGAAGCTTGTTTTCAAAGTAACAGTAGAACTAAGAATAGTATCGATCATTAGAATGTCGCAATTGTGACAGTTATCTTGTCATCACTGGAGAATTCTGAGTGGACACACAAGCGAAAGAAGATCTTGAGACTATCCCAAAGCGGAATGCTATGTCGATATTACTTCACTTATAGTTGAAATAGTACATGCAAGCAAAGATCCAACACAACTTGGGCAAGTCCACTACTAAACTCAGCAACAATATTTCTTAAAATACTGCAAGCTCCCACTGAAAAAAAGTTTAATTTGTGCTTCCCGCGACAGAGGAAGGCGAGTTTTTAGAAAAATCCGGAGCAACAGACGGAATGAAAAAATTGGGATACACGTGATCGAAATCAGGATGCTTGAGACTTGGGAGAAAAAAATCGGGATATCCCGATTAAATCAGGATGAGTGGCAGGTCTAGATAATCTCATAGTAACGCAATCAATGATTCACAACTCAAAAGATTTACCAAATAAGACAAAAAAATGCACACTACAAAGCCATTTCAAAGGTCACAAATGTAATTTCTCATGCTTAAAGACAACAGTCAATTATACACCCTGATCAATTTCTTTTCAAGATGTAATCTGGAGCAATTTACCTTACTTGTATACAGCAGGGAAAAAACTTGAGCTGAGATGAAGTATAACTTTCAAAGCCTCAACAGTTGAGGAAAAACAAATGTATCTGAGTTACATCATGAGAACTTTCATGACAGAGAAGACTAAATCATTATGATTTGCCAACGCCAGCTATAAATGTGGCACTGGAATGGAAGAAAAGAAATTCAGCTTGCACAGGGGGAGACAACTTTTATTCTAGTACCTTGCGCTTCTCCACCTCAGCTCGTACTTGAGCATAGCCTGCATGCTGCTTCCCCATCAAGTGCTCATCCTGCCTCTGTGGGGCGTCGCCGACGATGAGAAATGCCCCGCACACGTCACACACTTCCATCTGCTTCATCATGGGCACATCATCCTGAGTGGGCTGCTGGAAAACAGCAATGAGTATTGATTTTTTTTAAAAATGCTAAAACCACAAATCCACTTTAAATCACCTGGGTTTTTTTTCATACAACAACAAATCATCATGATGTATGCCCACAAGGTCTCCAACATAAGTGCATGAAGTTGCTCAGCACTCTAATCATAGAGTTTGGTTCACAGATCTTACCAACCAGTTCAAGAGGACCTAAAAAATAGTTTCTCTCATAACCTAAATACACCGCCCTCCCCCCCCCTCTCCTTTCAAAGTTTTGTCCTTTGCCATTGATAAGTGTCAACAGAAGCTTTAGTGCACTTTAAAAACACCAGACACAGGGGGCTCTCGTAGCCTAGATGTTAAGGGGTTCGCCTCTCATTCAAAGGTCCCGAGTTCGAATCCAGGTAGCGACGGAAAAAATGTTCACTAAAATTGTCTTTTTTAATCTCCTTTCCTGCTCTCTAGTAATGTTCTGTCATCTGCTTTCGTCTCCACTTTCTTCCCCCACCCCCTTTGCCCCCTCCTTTGGGCTCCAGCTTTTCTACTGGTTCTCTTTGGCTCGCTCCTTCTTACTGCTGTCTTTCAGCAACACCCCTAATCTTATGGTAGGAAAGACCTACACCTAGTCTTCTCGGGCAAGGGCAAAAAATCTCAGAGGTCCCGTGTGCAAGTTGCGCACCATAAAGATCCCTTGGAGGTCTAAAATCAATAAGAGTCAGCTTCGGTTGCCACCCATGCAAAATTTAAAATTTCCTACCAACTGAAAATGTTTAATGTGTCCCGAGCGCTCATATGACCATATGTAGATGCAAGCACTGTAAAACATTTACCAAAACAAAAAAATCCCACCAGACACTGACACATACGGTACTCATGTGAAAGTCACACACGCTAGTTTCATTGTTCGATCTTGAATAAGTGATATGACTAAGGCAAACTTTGTTTTAATGTGTCAGTGAATTAAATAAATAACCCAGAATGACAAATATGGATATTCTATCATGGTGTTTCTGCATTTATTATGCACAACTTGCCTGCTTTGATACCTGGTATTACAATCATCAGACCAACCTTAGGGAATCTGCGCAATAATGACCCATTGGCTGGCGGAGGCACACATAAGAAAACAAACCTATATTGTGTGTGTGTGTGTGGGGGGGTGGGGTTATTAAACCTCAGCACCCATTGCATATTCGGTAGTTTAGGCCTAAATCATAGATGTACACTATAGTACTAGATACCGTACGCCCCTCTCTCGCCTTGCTGCGCGATGGCCACATTTGACAGAGGCGTCCGCCATGTTTTTTGTGGCAAGTTGTGTGAAGGAGTTCACGCTAAAGCAATGGGCTAGGCATGTTTTCTCTCTCTCATGCGCGATAGGCGAGGCTTGGTTCTTTTTGTTGTTGGTTTTTTTTACATGGGCGCCGTGGCGTACTATATCTAAATTACTAAATTGCAATAATACGGCGTTCTTTCTACAACTAGATCTACAAATAAATGTATTATTAAATAGATAGAGATAGAGATATGGACTTTAAAAAAAAGAAGAAAAAAAACCCCAACCTTTATTTGTTCATCAGCACTTTATCTACGAGGTGGTTTATTTCTTATTGACTGAATCAAAGCGTATAGGGCCTATAGAACTTTTAAAAAGAAGTATGAAAAGATGTGGGTGTCATGGGAACCTCCCATAACCATCCCTCCCTCTCTCTCCTCCCGAATCCCAATACCAACACCCCCCTCAGATATATGAGTTTGCCATTAAATTAAATGAGGATGAGCCATAGGAAAAAAAAATTCCAGAGTTTTTCAGCATTTAGGTGTAGGAATGCAATGAAGCTCTTGATAAAGCAAATTCAGCCAAACAAATGATGAATACATGTACTGGTATTTTAAAAATCGAGTCAAACTTTCCCTTGTGACATTTGAACAGGAAACTATTTTTCATTCATATGTTCACTTTTTTAAAAAGTATACTAAATTATAAGTAGTGTTTTCATATGTCGGTATTAAACTTTGGTTTATATTGATTTTAAGAACTAAAGAAGACCATATATAGCACTTAAACTAAAGCTCCTCCTATTGCTGTTTTAAGTAAGTCTAATTTTGGACATTAGTAAAGCAACTGTGACAACTCTGGACTCACTAAAGATTTTTAAAAAGTGAACTTAAACGTTGTTTTGTAGCCTAGTCAATTGTTTTTCTACTCAGTGTAGTGATAACTGAAACAAAAACCTTTACTAAAGTGTTTTTGGACAACATTCAATAAAACAAAACAATAAAAAGTACACTGTTTCAGTTTGATAAAGAAATTTCCTGCCCATTGTGAAAAAGATCAAGCTGCTAGTCAACCTTAACTTCACATGGTCCAGAACCTTACTGATGGCTCTTTATGTTTTAAAAAAGAAACCCGGAGTGACTATTTGTGTCTATAAGACATATTATGCACTAAAAATAGATGATGTAGTAAAAGAAAACAGACATCACTGAACTGCCTTACAGAACCAGTAAGACGTTAATCCAGAAAGGGACAAGAGGTTTCACATGCTTGCACCTTTAAGAGAATCGCTTTGAATCAAAACATAACGTTAGAATCAAATAAAACACGTAAGACTAAGAGCAGAGACACGCCCACTCAAATGTAAACAAACTTTTTAGCCACATTAAAAATGGCTGCCAACAAACTCAAATGTGTCCGTGTCACGTAACCTCGTACGGACTAGTTTAAAAGGAGGTAACTCTATGGCCTAAATACAAGAAAAATTGGTAGAAATACATAGTCCTTCTGGACACAACACAAAAATATCACCTCAGTGAAAGAGAAAAGTCCACAAAATAAAGGTCATGCAGTGCCATGGAAAAACAGGACAAAGGGTACTAATATCAGGCAAAAAGTTGAGAAGACGACACTATTAGTAGTATCATCTACCCACCCATTACAGAAACATAAAGATACACTATTTCACCTATTTCAGAGAGTATTTAACATAAAATTGAGTGTTTCCTCTTCTAAGGCGATAATACATATTTTGACAATGTCTTTTTTATTCCAATAGCACAAAAACTACTACAAGCTCAATTTGCAGTTTAAAAAACCAGACAACATACAGTTTCCAGTTGATGGCGCTCTTCTTTTAGCTGATCTGCAAGCTTCATCACACCCTGGGCCTCCTCCACTTTGCCCTCACATCCAAGCTCCTCTGCCTGGAGACACAAAATAAACAAAACCAAACAAAAAAGATTATTTGTATGAGTCCTAAATGAAAAAGACATCTTCGAGGAAATATTTCAATTTGATCGCTTTCAATTTACAAATCCTCAACTTCCGTTTTACTTCTTGCCCATGAGTGGGAGCATCAAAACCTTTTATATTTTAACAAAATGTAATGCAAGAGACAGAATTTAACTTCCAAGTCTGTTGTTTACAAAACTTTAAAGAATGATATCATTTTCTTTACAATGAAATTGTGCAAAGCTAAAAATATCGCAATACTAGTCTAAATATAGATTTAAAAACCTTTTTTTTTTAAGAAGAAGAAAAAAATATAAACAAAAACAAGCCAAGTCGGAAAAGGGAAGTAACAGCACTGATATTTTTTATCAATATAATTATTTCCACTTTACATTCTCACCCAAAATCAATTTGATATTAACACTGAAAACAGCATTGTAAGGTTAAAACTTCACATTAACTCTCTCGAGTTCACGCCCTTGTATATCGACCGATATCGGTCGATGGCCGGTGGGCCCAGAGCGAAGCCGGCTGTCGCTATAAAAATTTGCCTAGAGTCTGCTATGTGTTTTATTTCGGTCAAGGAATGGCTAAACTTTTATAAATACACAATTTGTAACTCCTTTTTCGAAAGAGTTAGCCGTTAGAGGTGCCCGGATAATGACCTCAATTTCCCGACCACTTTCGTTTCCTTCGCCTCTAATTTGTAAACAAAGAACAGATGCTCGACTGTCTTCACAAAAAACAAACAAGTTTTCAAGTAAAATGTCCGATTCTGACCCCGATTATGGTCTGGATGACTCATTTAGTGAGTTTTATATCGATGACAGAGACTCTGAATCAGATAAAGAGTCTGACAATGACATAGCAAGTCCTCAATCAGGACCAAGTGGTGCAGCCAATGGGTAAGTGATGATTGCACTGAGCATCTATGAACAGCTAGACCTATTGAAACATAATATTGGCCCGGGGGGTACTAAAACGTGTGTTTTATTGTATAAATGATTAAAATTTTGTGTTTTCTTATGAAATTGGTTAGAATTGATAAGTTTTTCTCGCTTTTATTATTTTTTTGGCATTTTTTTTGTACCCAAGGTGCGGTTGCTAGCTGCTTGTTTACGTTCAAAATGGCGGATCCTGAGACGATTTAGTTTACAACATTACAACTGATTGATAACGTTTCCTATCTACTGCAGTTTGTTATTATTTGTTTCAATTTAAATGTATCATCAATTTTCATGTGAACAAGGGAATAATTTATTTAGATCTAGAGTCTATGTGGCCTCAGCTCAGGTGAGTTGCGAGTTGTCATTTTTGTAAACTGAGTCTAACAATTGGAGAGTGGTATGATTGGAGTGGTGGAAAAAAAAGTCTTGCTGGACTTGTTCTAACATGCCTTGTTCCTGTGCATTTTCCGACAGGGGTGACTTCATTGGTTCGTAACGTGATGCCGACGCTGCGGCCAGGCCTGCATCTCGATGAGGACCGGACCAAACAAAATGCGGAAATATCTGACACCAGGTGAATTTTTTCCCCGGTCCATATTCATTTTTATAATAATTATTTTTTACAACAAGACTATAAAAAATCAGTAGATATTGCTAATGCTCAGGCTTTTTTTTCTCAAATAATGAAACAATTCGTATGCTTTGCTTGACTATTCATTTACTTTAGCTATAACAAGAATTTACGGACAAATTGGGATGTCTGTTATGTTCAAAATTAACTGTTGATCTGTTGAACACTGTGTGTGTGTGTGTGAGAGAGAGAGTTTGTGTGTGTGTGTGTGTGTATTTGTGTCTGTGTGTGTGCTCTTGCATGAGAGGAAGAGAGGGTAAAAGAATGAGCGAGACGGAGAGAAGGGTTCATCCCGCAGAGATGTACTGTGTGTGTACATTTGTCTGATTGAATGGTGCATTGGTGTGAGCATAGTATAATTTGTAATATGTACTTAGCTGTGTTGTTGCTGTATTTTGTATGTTGATGTACTGGTATAGCCTATATATCATAGCTGCCACTCAGGAATTTAAAAAAAGGAGGAAATTCATGCGAAGGCGGACACGCGCTGCTCTCCGAAGGCCGGAGTAAAACCAGTGAGATCCAGAGGCAATATATACTGGAAAAATCTAGCCTATGGTTTTCGAAGGGAAAACTCTCATATTTATTAACCATAGGCAACTGAATTAAAATGTATTTGAAAAAAACAACAACAACAAAAAACAAACAAAAAAACAACAAAGGCACAATCACTAAGTAGACTACCAAGCATTTGAGTCAATTTGACAGTTTGGACTTGGTGACTAAAAATCCAGTGTTTGTTGCAAGCTGGTGTCTTATAAAAAGATTTCTTTCACTTTAAACTTGTACATCGATGTAGAGCGCGCGCAGTATTGGATCAAGGAGGCAACACCTTTGCCGCTGAACTGAGCACTCCTGGGACCGCAATTGTACAGGAGTGCCGCGGCCCGCGATTTCTTTATCGCACCAAACGCAAAGTGCAGCAAGCGGAGCTCCTTTTATTTTTGCATTCTGCATCAATTTCTCTCGAATTTCCGCCGTTTCCAATGACAACTCGGCGCGCTAACGTCCCGATGCCAGATCGACACTTTGTTGCTCCACAATAAACAAAGTGAAACTAACGCTAGGCCAAGAAGAACGGAAGTAGAAAGCTACGAGTGGACAAGCGCAAGCTGCGTTTTCGTCTCTCTCCCAGTTCGGTGTTTTCCGCGTGTAAAAAAGTATCGCAATTTGCGACCGAGAGCGGTCCAGCGGAGGAAAGTAGCGGGAAAAGCTAGATGAAGCGGAGTTTCCGCTATTTAGCGGGAGAGTGGCAGCTATGATATATCCACCTAAAATTTCTCTCGTGGATCCATCAAATTTATCTTA